ACTTGAATTATTTTAGGATAATTAAAAAATATAGCCAACCATTTTCAAGAAAGAAAACCTTTAATCTGACATTTTACACTCATTATTCTGTTAACTAATAGAAAGACATTTCTATATACTAGTTTTCTAGTACATGTCAAAATTCAAGCTTAAACCATCATAATCCATGAGCTATTAAGGACAGTTCCTGGACTAATTATCGTGGTTAACACTCTTCCATCTCCTCCACAGTTGAGCACAAAGTACGCTCCCTCTGTACACTGACAGCTCTTTCACCAGATTCACTTCTCAGACTAGAGCTGCCTTTTCAAGTCATGGAATCTCACTTCTGCCCTTAAGCTCCAAATGCCTCTATCAAATAATGCTGCCACAATCTGAGTGGTTAGAATTCTATTTTCCTAGAAATTCCATTTCCAAACAATAAAAATAAGGTTGTAAGCTTGGCTTCTTCATTTAAAACTTATGTGTAAACAACTGGTTAGAGATATTAGATATTTTCTAAGACACATTCTTATTTGGTATAAAAATAAGTTGATAACAAAAGAAAAAAAAACTCACATAAAGCCTTGAATCCCATTAAACTAATAGATAATTACTGCCAGAAGAATTGTTTACAATAATAATATTAAAAATACAAAATGAAGAATCAGGCTATGTTGATAATAACAATAAGTCTTACATATGAAAACCAATCTGATAAAGCCAATTCAATCAGCTATTTGGAACTATCTTTCATATCCGTCCATTCTGAATAGCCACCCAAAATCCAATCTCAATGAAGTTAATGCTGTAAGAATGCAATGATGCTGAGATGCAATCTGAAATTTCTCAGGTCTCATGGTATAAAACTAAAATCTTAAAAGGACAGTTATACAAATTCCCAGCTTTATCGAATTACTGTTTATCTTTATTTGTAGTAGTACTTAAAAGTTTACTTGGAAGCACTCTGGCACTCAACCTCCAAATATGAGACCAAAGAAATACCTAGGGAGAACATATACCAGGATACCACATTTCCACATAGAATGTGAACCATGTTCTATGTATATCTGGTGTCTGAAGATTAATATTCTCTTCAGTCAATATTTAAATATATTTCAATGAATCTGTATTATTCTTACTACGTTGCATATAATACCACAGGCATGATGCTAGAAATAAAGAAATAATTCCTACTCTCAAGGAGTTTACAATCTAGTGTGATTAACTTTAAATAATTATACTGGAAGAAACAAGCCAGCATTAACTGCCAGCCATGAGTGACCCACTTTGGCCTGATCTAGGTAGAAATTTGGGGCTAACAGTGTAATGGGATGAGGTATTGGGCATATTGGGAGGTGGGTGAGGTTACTCTGTACATGAAAGGTATATGAACTGAGGTAGCCTATAGGTGAACTGTCACAGCTACTCTCCAAAGATGACTACCATCATTCCCTTTGCTTTCTATACATGCTCCTCACATCAAGAAACGGAGAGTAATTCCCTCCCCTTGAATCTTGGCTAACCTTCCTTGACCAACAGAATGTAATGAAAATGGCCTTCTAGGACTTCCAAAGCTAGGTCTTAAGAAGTCTTGCTGTTTCTACCCAGAAAACTCACTTTTGAGACTTTCAATCTTAAGATACTCCCTCTTAGAACCAGCCACTATGGTTAGAGAAGCCCAAGTCATATGGAGAGGCCATGTGTAGCCATTGGCAGCTAACAGCTCCAACTGAACCCTCAGTCAACAGGGAGCATTAACTTTCAGTAATGTGAGTGAGCCCTCTTGCACACTGAGCCCAGTCAAATCTTTGGGGAACTCCATTCCCAATCTCCAATTGCCTGCAATGGTATGAGAGACCCCAAGCAAGAACTGCCCAGCAGTTCTCTACAGAAACATGGGAAATATAATACATTGTATTTAAGACATTAAGTTTCAGAGTAGTTTGTTAGGCAATAGTCTACTAAAACATTTGACCATCAGGTCAGACTTTCCTCAGTAGGTAAGAAGTACCTAGAGAATGTTGAATTTAGAAGTGACTTTCTCAGAGCTCTGTTTTTGGCTAGATTCCTCTGATAACTTCATGTAATAAATTAGGGGCACAGAGAAATTGAAGACAAAAAGGTAAGAAAGTGTTGAAGTAATTCAAGCATGAAGTATGGCTTAGAACTAAAAAGTGACAGGAAAAAGGAAGATGCATTTCACAGATGAGAAGAAAAAAACTCTCCAACTGATAAAATTTAAGGAATAATAGAAGGTAGAGGTCAAAGTAGGTTCTGGGGTTTCAGAACCTAGATAACTAAAAAGATAATAATACTCTTAATCAAGACTGGCAGCCAAAAGGAAAGCATGTATGGAGAAAAATCAGAAGAAATTAAATTATTGGTGCTGGGAGGTCATCCAGGGAGAACCATTAGACGAGCCAATGGCAATGGGTTATGGGAGGGCTTTTCTGGAATTAAGTACTTTTTAAGAATACCTTAAGTTGATATTCTGAAGTAACTGTTTTCTATACAAAAACTATGAATCCACACATGATATAGCTCATGTAACTGTGTAAACTAAATTAGGCATATCAACATGTACTAATGTCACTTTAAACAGATCATGGACTACTTTTTAAATACTCACAAAGTAAGTTATATTAAGTTTATTGCTATAACTAATATTGACAACAGCATGACCAAATTTACATGTATTATTTATATTCTATGGGTTTAAGTTAGTATTTCTCAATCTTTTTTACATTATCACCTCCCTAATGACTCTTTTTAGACATTTACTAATCACCCACATACCATTTTAATGCCACACACAAACTGTTTACCTGTTATGTACTGTATCTATGTTTTATATATTAAAAAGAATAAGATTTTCTTCGAATCCCCAAAAAACCAATTTTCACTATCTTGGAAAGAATATCTCCCCCATTGAGAATGCATGGTTTATTTAGATAGTTTGTTACTCAAATAGGAACTGAGTCTATAACTAAAACAAAGCCAACCCTTAGAACATTAAAGAAGACTCATGAAGAATATGACAAAGACTCATAGCCACACCTCTAAAACTTCCAATTTAAAAACTGAAAAGGGCAATTACTTTACTTTCAGTGCCTGCTAAATAAAACTACCAAATTCTTCCATTTTAAAGGCCACTATCATTCCTTCATTATTCATCCATTTTTACTGAGAGATCAGTAACTAAAATAATTTGCAGCTAACAAGTAAAATATAGATTTTAAAACCTAAAATCTAAGAAGCCCTAACCTACAAAATGGATAATAAGCATAAAAATAAATAAGAATCTGCCAATCAGAAGTATTCCTAATTTACCTACCTACAGAAATAGGAAAGTCAATATTTGATAAAAAAGAATTGTAAAGAAGTAATAGGAAGATAAACACTATACTATTTAAATAAAAACTATTTAAAAAGAAACATCGAAAAACAATCATTTTACTAATAGCCCCCAAAATTCCATTTATGTTTACCTGTAGTTAAAACTCCTCAATATGAAAGCTTAAAAATATTTTTCTCTTTCATTAATATACTATATTTCATAACTTTCTTATCTGGCATTAGAAAGGCAAAATTATTAATTACTACTTGCTAAGGCAAAAACAGTAAAGGAAGGAGAGAAACTAAAGGGAACATCTTTTCCTCTGACCTATTACATTACAGTTCCAGCCCTGCCTCACCCCACCCACCATAAAAGCACCCAGAGATGGGGCACAAATCACTTACAGCAGCATATATTATTCTTATAACCAGCAAAAACAAAGATGTTCCTCCACCAAAATATAAAAAGAAAGAAAAGTTAATAAATGAGAGAACTATGCCTAAAGCCAAATAGATTTACTAATGCCAGAGATTACTAGGAACACAATATTTAAGGAACAGGCATATAACCGCAAATGCATCAAAACATAACTTATTTTAAGACAAAGAAAACATTTTGTAATTTTGTAAGTAATATTTCTTTCAGTGTCATTATCCCTTCATCCTAACTACGACCTGGCAATCTGAAAGCTCCTACGGCTTGTGCCGTGTTACAGAGAACATTAGTATTACTAAAATAAAAAAACTTATTATCTCATTCTAAGGAATAAGCTGTATATATCTTAGGTCTCTACTTACTAAAGAAATTTAGACAACTAAGGTTTTAGTCTATGCTTAACAAAAAGTCTCACCTTTACTAGCAACTATAAATTCTCTATACTTTCATTCATTTTTAAATAATTTTAATAAAATACATTTAGTTGAAATAATGAATTACTCTTTGAAATTTTTTTTTTATCCTATAATTGGTAAGGGGGGTACTAAATATCTCAATTCTGACAGTTAAAGGTTATATTACAAAAAATAACCCCTGTGTGCCTGGGTCAACTGGGAAACGACCAACAAATATTTGGTTATTAAAAACAGAAAACTTGCTGTTTAAAGAAATACCAATAAAACATAACGCATTTCTTTATAATTATTAGGTAGCCACCAGTTAAATGCCCTGGTTTAAGGTCACTGCATGCCCTTCCCATTTACTTCAGCATAAATCAATAGTGCTAAAACAAGGCTGTTTCACAAGCAAAATGATAGTTATCTAATGAACAATTTACAGTAGAAACCTTGATCTTCTAATATTAATAAAGTTTCTTCTTTCATTTAAAAATAGGATCAGGGATTAATGAAGACAAGGTCGTTAAATGAAAGGTTAATCAAAAAAAGATATAATCTGAAATTAATTTTACAGAGATAATGTTTTATAAGCTACATATTTATCATGCTATACCTTATATCTGTGAGAAATATTGTTATAATAGTTTATTCAGCAGTCAATGTACTAATCACTGTGTTAGCTATTAGCCTGAGCATAACACAGTCATGAAAGAAAATCCATTTTTTAGGAGTTTTTTAATTAATAAATTGATTGCCTCAAAATACATGCTAACTAAAAACCAGAACCCTAAAACCTAAAACTATTAAGCCAGAAAGTGGTAAACATTTGTAAGAAATTATGAATTTACCTTGGCTCCGCACTCAGCCTTATTATATTTTTTTGTGGCAGAGAATCTTGTGATTTTTGTTTCAAATCCTATAAAAATGAACAGTAATTTTTAAATTTTACTTAACACTTTACGGACTCATCTTGACACCAGAAGATCATTCAAATTCAAGTTTAGCAAGAACAGATTAAGGACTTATAAAAATTTAAATATCAAGGGGCTTCTAATTAAAGCCAAGCAAAACAACTAATTATAATGCCCAGTTGCCTTACTAACATCTTAATAGTATTCTAAAACCCCATATATTTCACATAGTTTGAAATATTTATAGAAAAGATGAACATACAGGTAATTTATATTAAGCAATAAAAATTCTTTCAAATACTGTACAAAAAATTATATTTCAATGTCTCTTTTCATTAAGCTTCTCATCCTCTTTGCTAATGCAAGAACAATGAAATCACACATTTTTATGATGACCATAGATGAAATCACTAACCATCTCCAGGAAGGTATCAGAAGAGTAAGAGTCATATGTGAGTTTGTCCTTCAAAATAAGAAAAAATGCGGAAGTTCCAATTATCTTCTCCAAAACCATTAATGAATGAAAAAGTCTGTAAACCAAAAATTTTATTAGTCTGAGAAATAATTTTAAAATCTGCATACAATATTTTCAGTTTCATTAATAATGGCCAAACCACCAGTATCTTCATCTTGCATTCAAAGTGAAACCTATAATGAATTTATGACAAACCTGCTCTTTTTTCCCCCAGAACTAAGTACTTAGAAAAATGGTTAATCAGAAGATACAACCGACAAGAATGCATTTAAAACTGAAAGCTTTCTGGACACACCTGAAACACATAAACATACTCAAACTACATATACTTTCTATGAATATTGCACCAAATAATAATATCCAGTAGAATCACCCCAGTAACTCTGAGGCATTCTACCAAAAAAACATGACTTGCTACTTTAGAAAAAGTTCTAACACGGGTTTTAACAATGAATAAAAACATGAGCTAATTCAGCTCACAAGAAAATTCAATTAGTATACAAGTTATACCCCAAGAATTAAAATAGATATTTTGTTTAGTTTCATGTTCTTGTTCAAGAGAACTAGGAGGACAAGAGTTTTTGACAGATGTGAATAATGAAATTGTCTTCATCCCTGTCAATTTTTTTGGTCACTGAAATTACTAACTATATTCAAATTGTATTTTTAAGTCTAAGGAATCAAGTCTATTGATTCCAGACCAATTCTGAAATATATCCTCAGTATATCACCAGCTACTGCTGAAGCACTACTCATGGAAAAAAGGAACTTGCTTGAAGATTTTTTTTTTCCTAATTCAGTTATGTTTCTTGAAGGCTTTATAGACCAGGCATCCATAGGCAAATTCATATTGGAGAACTATGCAGAAAATCCTCGCTAATCACATTTTCAATTATATTATTTTGTCTAACACAGAAAGCAACTTTGGATCTATGCCTTAAAAACATTTTTGTTGTCATGCAACAACAACAAAAAAACCTGTAAAAGAAGTTAACTTCTTTTTTGCAGAGTATTAATATTTCCTTCAGAGATGTAGGTGACCATGATCAACGTTACCAATTAAATATATTTACATGGCAAATCTATAATTTTAATGCTAAAATCTTATGGATTTGAGTTCATGCCATAATTCAATTAAATTTCCCAATATATTCAAATGTTTTCCTAGACAGTGTTAAGTGTTTTCACCATACTAAAACACCATATGAATGAATATGGTTCAGTTATGACAATAAGACCCTCAACCTAAGTTCCTTTCTATTGTCTACAGGGCTATCTTTATTAGGCAGCCTGAATCTGCAGAGTGAAAGTCATGTTCTCCACCACCTAAAACCACAGATGTATTAAAGAGTCCTAATTAAACTGAGTCGAAGCCAGGCATCAACATTTGCATCCTAAAGGCACACATGAAGCCGCCTCATAGGATGAGTACTAAAGGCTACAATATATCACTCCCCAAATGTTTTCTCAGGATGTATAGAGCTGTTTTGTTTAAAACAAAACAAAACGAAACACAGTACATTTGGGAAACACTGGGTAAAACAAAATTCTAAATGTTTCAACATTTCATTAATATGGAATTTTTTTCAGGGCCTCTAATTTCTGAACATCCACTTATCCTATTAATATGGAATACGGTTCAGGAAAAGTCACTTGGGAATCACAGGTTCCTAGTTTGCTGTCATGGCTGTTGTATTAAGGAGATGTTAGCATGTCTGCTACTCTATAGGTTGTCTACATTTTAGGATCCTCATGCTCACCCTGTGTTCCGTTTTCTCCCACCTACCTTAATTACAAGTTAGGAATAATTAGCGGAATTCTAAAACATTTCTCTAAATGACCTCATTACCATTTCTTCTTCCCTTCTACACAAGCCACATTATCTATTAATACTTTTAAGCTGACTGTCTATTACAAACATTGCCCCAATCCAATTCATTTTTTTATGCTATGATTAGAATTAATCTCCAAATATGCCATGATGTATTCTTGCTTTCCAGTTTATAACTATACACACATTCGATCTAGTGTTGATAGCACACTCTCAGATTCCCCCTACTATGGCAGAGGAGAAAGAAGGGCCTGAATGCCTGATGACACTGCAGAGCTGCCATACCAGAACCAGTTGTCTACAGATTTTTTTCATATGACATAAAAATAAGCAGGACAGGATTTATTCTGTTTCTGGTTGCTATTACTCGCAGCTAAATGCACGACTATTTCATACACTTGTTCACAGTGACATTTCTGCCAAATCTGAATGAATAGTAGTCATCAGTCCAAGTTCAAGAGAACACCCAATACTAACTACCTCTTTGTTAATAATTCTCTAACTTGTGTTTTGAAATTTCCTCCTTAAAATGTCTGTGCTAATGATTTGGTAATTGTTTATGACTTTTCAATGAAGTGTGAAGTACTTCCATAGCAAATTTACAAATGCCAAGTACAGTTTGAGAATTACCGCCTTTTCTTCTCTAACATGCAATTCTGCACAGGGAAGTTTTTATAAGCCAAAAGCAACACAAAACCTGTGGAGGAACCAATGATAGCTCTTCCAGACAGGTCATGATAAAAAAATGTTCTGTAGCCAAAGCTCAATGACCTATAAGCAAATCTCTTTCAATATGACAGCCAGAGACAGCAAGTGGGCAGTGTAGGAAAATGACTTTTCCATGTCCTCTTAGGAGCACTGCCCTGGTCTGATTCTAAGCAGTCTCACTTTTAAACTCTCAACAAACCAAGCAGGCCAGGAGCAGGTGAGAAAGAAAAATGGAGGATCTGACCTTACTTTCAAAAATGCTTTCTGTGGGAGAAATACCATCTTTATCATCTAATGAGCATTTTCTACTTTAAGCCCAGATCAACCTCAATAGGTGGGTGTCAAATATACTTGCCATTAAAAAATGGAGAAGATATTCAAGATACTACTTTGAATGTTTTTTTTTTAAGGACTGAAATCAACTAATGAAACCCCAAGAATATCTTTTTCCCCCAATTTCTAGAAAGCCAGCCAAAATATTGTAACTAAAAATTTAATTAACATTTACTACAATTAGTAATATAAGTTGTGAGTCAATTTTTTAACATTGATTTCATGTATTGTATATGCTTTTCTCATCAAGGAGTAGTAATAAAGATATTCACTTTTTAAATCTATTCTTTAAGAAAATCACAGTATATTTTAAATGACTTTAAAATATTATCAAAGCACAACACTGTTGATAAAAAAAAACAGTATCAGGAAGAATAGTCTAAACCATAGTAAATAAAATAGTCAAAACTCCTTCCCCAATCTAGGAATCCCCGCTGCACTGATCTTAATGAATGGTCATCCAAAGTCTGGTATGAGGATAGAGAACTCCCTACTACAAAAGGTAAGATTTCTTCCCCATTATTAGGAAGCTCTGTTTGCCAAGTCCTCTGTTATCTCAGACCATGCTTATACTCATTGTTCAAATTCTTTAATATAGAAATAACTTAGCTTCTACTCCCTCGCCCATCTGACAGCCCTTCAATGAGTTAAATATGGCTTTAATATCAACACCCAGGTCATCCTTTCTCATTCCCAGTGGTTTATATAATCCATATATGATAAGGTTTATAGGTCTTTTTCTCTCCTGGCTATGATTCTCAGCTTATTATGTCAATGTACCTCTTAAAAAATATATACACAAGAACAACTGGATATGAAATAGGATGAGATTAAACTGACATACAATGAAGTAGGAATTTTTATCTCTCTAGATTATAGCTATGTTTTGTTTGATGCCAAGTCCTTGGTCAAGAAGATAACCCCAATCACCACACTGTATTTAGAAGAAAACAGGATCAGCTTTAAACAGTAGTAATAATATTTTACTACCCTATTTGCAGAAATGCATTGCAATAAAAAGTTGGTGCAGTTAGGATTTTGTCAACAGATTTCTTTAAAAAATTTGAATATCGGTGCTGTTTTGCTATAGTAATACTTACGAGGGATATCATTGTTAATGTGGTTTGATATGCACTAACAACTTCATCAAAATATATAATCTTATTACCCATAATTTTAAAGATTTTTTAAGATGATTTTTGTATAATTAGATTACCTGGTACCATAATCCACAACCACCCAATCTTTTGCAGTTCCTGTGATAGCATCATGATGTTGAAACAGTCCCAAATTCCTCCTGGCTTCTGTCAGTGCCGTGTAAAGCGATGATGAGAGAAATTTATTTATCTTGTATTTGTGAGCTTGTCTCAGGGCGAAATAGTAAAGAATTTCAGCAGCCCTAATTGCATAAAAGTCATATTTTTATTTTAAAACAAACACTTTAGCTTATAATCTAAAACATGTGACATCAATACTTTTCAAATTTTTTAATCCATAATTGCAGTACAAGCAATTTATGAAAAAGATATTGGTAATAATAATTCACATAAAATGACCAGTGTATCCATATAACACATTTGCATTCTCAATCATCAAAGAATACTATGTCTACACTGGTACCAGGGGTCCTTGTTCTAGATGATCCTGGAAAATAAGCCAGTACCTGTTGGCAGCAAGACAGGCTTATTTATGTATCACATAATGAAAACATACCTGAAAAATTGGATAAATTTCTCTGCCCTTTCTTCTTTCCAAGAGCAACACACACACAGACCATAAACATCATAATGTCATTTACTCTCACATATATACAGTAAGAGACATGAAAAAGAAAGGCATAGTTGGTGAATGGGACACTCAGAGGAGAGGAGAGGAGAGGCAGAAAATAATGGCCCAAGAACAGCTCAGGGGCAAGGGTTAGTTTCAGTTTTGAATGGTAACATATAACAAACATGGAGAATTTAACAATACAAACTGAAAAATGATAAACAGGATGTCAGTTGGGCATGGTGGCTTATGCCTGTAATCCTAGCATCTTGTGAGACCAAGGCAGGAAAATCACTTGAACTCAGGAGTTCAAGACCAGCCTGGAGGACATAGCAAGACTGTATCTTAGCCAGGTGTGGTGACATGCACCTATAGTCCTAGCTACCCATAAGGCTGAGGTGGGAGGATCACTTGAGCCCAGGAGTTTGAGGCTGCAGTGAACTAGGATCACACTACTATATGCCAGCCTGGGCAACAGAGAAAGACTTTGTCTCTTAAAAAAAAAAAAAAATTCCTGGCTTTAAAAGGAGTACATATGCATATCCAGATATCCTAAAATGTTAAAAGGAAGATTTGGGAAATACTGTCTTCCCTATACTTTTATATTTTATCCACATTTTACAAATGAACAGAGGGATGAAACATTACTATTTTCAGACAAACTTATGTATAAATTAATACATTTGCAAAGTCACAACTATTGTATGGTTTTTTGGTTTTAATGCAGCAGAATTTTCCAAATATATTACTAGCAGTAACCACAATGTCTTGAATACGTTCAATAAATGAAGATAAACCAATATTCTTTTTCCCACTAAAAAATACTTGACACTTAAAAATCACTAAATCAGTGGTCCAAAAGGATCTCTACATTATTGAGAATATACTTCACTTTATAACAGAAAAGTTTAAAATAGTATAAGAGATAACTGGTTGATATTCTGTAGGGTAAGAATGGATAGACACTATAATATGTAAACATTATTTTAAATTTAATAAGATATATTCCATTACCTCAAGCAGTTATTTCTTTGTGTTAGAAACATTCCAATTCTACTTTTAGTTATTTTGAAACACATAAATGATGAATATACAAACTATTATGATTATATACTGTATGCTTATATCAAAATATCACATATACTCCATAAATATGTACAACTAATATGTATCTATAATAATGAAAATAATTTTTTTAAATGAGATATATTTTTCGGGCATATTATAAGTAACAGTAAAAGGTTAGGCTTTTGAAATAGTAATATTTAATAGCAGCACAATATTAATAAAAAAACACTACCATATAAAAAAAACTCTTAAGAAAATTCATAATTTTTAATAAAAAGCCTTTCCAAAATGTAATCAATGTCCACTAGTATATAAAAGAGAGTAAGTACAATCTAACTCAAACATCAAGATTCAACATGAAAAGGAATTATTTTAGTGGTCTATACATAGAGAAAGCCTTGGGGGCCTCTGGAGTAGTTTAACTTTATCAACAATCAGCCTCTGTTATTTAGGACCATGCTCTCCAATATGATAGCCATAGCCACACATGGCTATTGACATTTAAATTAATTAAAATTAAATGGGCACATTTCAAGTGCTCAATAGTCACATGTGCCTAATGACTACCATATTGGACAGTGCAGAAATAGAACCCATCACAATAGAACATTGTATCAGTGATTGAAAGGTCTCCTGGATAGGGTCAGTTAAGTGTTTTTATGTTTTCTATAGACTTTTCTGTCTTCTCTGCATCCATTTACATGTTCAATCATTGTCTGCCCCACTAGTCATCATTTTTTCAAATGCTGTTCTATGCAGATAACTGTGCCTATAGAAATGTGCTTCAAATAAGTATGTAAGAACTGAGACGAAACCTAGTCTAAACTTCTCCGACATACAAAATACATTAGTTTTGGATTGTGAACTTTGAAGCTCATATTTCAATGCTGGGAGGCCCTATTTGCTTCTTTGATGCTCACCTATGTTTCCAATGAGAAGCCCATCAGATTACTAGCCTGCAGACACTCATGATGATGTCACTGAATATTAATATGGTGGGCAAATAACATAGGAAAATTAATTAGAAAAATACAAAATGCAGAATACAACTCCTTAAAAATCTAATTAAATAAACTATTTTTTCTTCCAGAACAAAAACCTATGTAATAATTTGATTATAGTTTGGAGACATATTTCTGACTGCATTAAAATTTCACAATTACATTAAGTGCTTAATTAGAGCTTAACACTACATAATGTACTACACGAATGATATATATTATGAAAAACTACAAAAGGTTATGATAATATAAAGAAAGTGAAGAAATAGATGTAGCTACAGAAAGGTAAAAGTACCTTAAATGAGATTCCATGATTCTATCCATTCGTTTGTAAAAGGGTCTGGATGTAAAATAGCCACTCCAATAATGATCATCTCGATCAGCATAAGTGAAAAAATCTCCACTTAGAACAGGGAACATCGATTGGCCCTTGTCTCTCTGAGTTTCATCTGCTTTATCCAGTGCATCAAAAAAATCTGATAAAGTTCCAAACTGTATCTAGTTTAAAAAAAAATGCACTTCAATTATTCATTCTACCTTAAAATTATTTACTTCTTACACTGTTAGGAAAAGTTAGTAATAAATACTTAAGATGTGTTTCCAAGTTAAGATGAACACATAGCTCAGATTTTGTAAAAATCAGAAGCAGAGAAGAAAATAATAGTGACTTTTTTTTTTTTTTACTTGCATTAAGGTCCAAATTAAACTAAGGGAAAACTTATACACTTAAGCAGTTAAGAGAAGAGCTATGTAGATCTACAAATCAGTGAATATGAAAACTCCTACATATCTCTAGAATTTCAAAGTGCACAATAATTTGGGCATGGATTAATCCAGATAAATGAAAGACGAGGGCAGCAGCAAAAATAAAAGACATATTAAAGTGTTCCAGAAGTCTAGAATAACAGTTTTATTAGCCATAAAGTCTAGAAGAATAATTTTGTTAGCCATAAGGTATTTCATATATCATACCCTCCTCTATCTCCCTTTTCCCCCAGTTGAGTTCTTGTGAAGAAGGGACTTTAAGAACAGCAGGTCATTTAAAAAAAAAATGGACTTACTCTACCAGTAGGTAACACTGAGTAGAAGTTAAATACAAAGAGTGATAAGAATGGCAAGTCTGCTGCTTAAACACACTGGTCTTTCCGACTAATTATTTAAATCAGCAGTAAGAAATTTGTTTTTATGAGTTCAAACTATTCTACAAATCAAAGACAAAAAGAAACACTGTACCAAATCTTGTAAACAGATATTAAAAGGCAGTCCTGTCAAAAATAAATAGATTATTTAACAGGGAATGTGTTCCTTTTAAAAGAAAGATGCTGATTTTGTTGTTTCCTACACACATACATACAACACAAACACACACACACACACAAATACAGATATTGCAAGTCATTTTGATTCAAGGTAGCAATAGTATAGGTTTGAATTCCATCTCTACCACTTATCTGACATGTGTTTTGAGCATATTACATAACTTCTCTGTCTATCCACATTACAGTGAATAGGGCTCTAAGTAAAAAGTTTACAACTGGCTGGGCACGGTGGCTCACACCTGTAATCCCGGCACTTTGGAAAGCTGAGGCGGGTGGATCACAAGGTTAGGAGATGGAGATCATCCTGGCTAACACAGTGAAACCCCATCTCTACTAAAAATACAAAAGAATTAGCCGGGCGTGCCTGTAGTCCTGTAGTCCCAGCTACTTAGGAGGCTGAGGCAGGAGAATGGCGTGAACCCGGGACGCGGAGCCTGCAGTGAGCAGAGATCATGCCACTGCATTCCAGCCTGGACAACACATAAGAAAAATTACAAAAATAGTTAAATGATGATCAAATGGCAAAATGACTGTCTTGGCTATTCTATGTCGATTTTTCAGCCATCTGAACTGAGTTATTTACTTTTATTCTCCATTTCATTAAAAGAAAATAAATGTATGCTTCCAGTTCAGACAAAGTAACTTTAAGTATCCCATAAGAAACAGATATAACTAGATAAACTACAGAAAGAAAAAGCTCTGAAGACATTAAAGAACTAAAGCAGCCAGAACTTAAGGGACAAAAATGTTGGAGAGAAAGAAAATGAATTAAGGTGGACCCTATACTCTACCAAATTTTCATCTTGGGGTACTAGTCCAATCACTGCACAAGACATAAAGGCCTAACAGAAAGCAATGTCCTAGAAGAAGAAAATAATAAAATTTAGTATCTGGTCATGAAAAAACACTCTGTAAAAGAATAATATAAGGAAAATTCCATAATCTGATAAAGGAAACCTACAAAATTCTACAGCTAACATTATAACCCATGAATGTTTTCTCTCTTAGAAAATTATGTCTGCTTTCACCACACCTACTCAACATTATACTAGAGGACACAGCCATCGTACATGGTAAGAAAGTAAATTGAAAGATTTAAAGTTTTGGAAAGGAAGACATAAATATGCCATTATTCATACATAGGAAATCCATGAAGAATCCACAAATATAATAAATAAATTTAACAAAGTTACTGGATACAAGACTAAAATGCAAAAGTCAATTGCATTAATACACAAAATACACCATGTTAATCGATTAGATGGCCCAATAATTGTAGTTATTTGTGCTCAAATTAAAACAAAGATTCAATGCAATCCCAATCAAAATCCCCTTCAATTTTTTTTTGTTTGTTTTGGTAGAAATTTAAAAGATGACCTAAACTTATGTAGAAATACAAAGGATTAACAGTAACCAATGCAGTCTTGGGAAGGAGAACAAAACTAGAAGACTTTTACTATCAGATATTAAAACCTATTACAAAACTGTAGTATTAATAATTAAGACAGTGTGAGATGAGACAAACAGACCAATAAAAGTGAACAGAGAGTGTAGACACAGACCCACACACAAATGCAGTCTCATTCATGATTAATGACAAAGATGGCACTGTGGTGCTGTGGAAGAAAGTATGGTCTTTTCAATAAACGGTGCTGGATATCTATATAAGCCAAAATGTATCTTGATCCCTACCCTCACACAATTCATAGCAATCCATTTCAGATAGATTATAGACCTGAATTTGAAGGCAAGACAATAAAGCTTCTGGAGGATAGCTTCATAAGAATGTAGCTTCACAACCACATGATAAACAAAAAATTTTTAAACAGAACAAGTTCTAAACATAAAGAAAAATAGTTATATTTAATTAATTAAAATTAAAAATTTCTGTTCATCAAAAGACAGCATGAGAAAGTAAAAATGCAGGCTACATAGTAGGAGACAACACTTGCATATATTTTACATGAAAAAAGATAGAATTCAAAATGTACCAAAGAGCTATAAACAGTAAGAAAAAGACAGACAACCCAATTTAATTAAAAAATCATCAAAAGACTTAAATAGGTACTTCACAAATGAGGATACCTAAATGGCAATAAACATATGAAAAGAGGCTCAACCTCATTAACCACGGGAGAAATAAAAAATAAAACCATCCCATCTATCAAAAGGATAAAAATAGAAAACAAAAATCCTGACAATGCAAACTAAGAAAGGGTGTGGAACAACTGAAACTCTTACACAACACAACAACTGATGCATCTATTTTGGAATAGTTTGACAATATATACTAAAGCTGAACATGTGCTGTACTAGGATCATGTGCCTATGATCTTAGTTCATAATCTGATAAAAATTCAGCTGTAACAATCCTGAATAAACTTGATATTTTATTAGGTTTATTTATCTATTTGATATTACTTAGGTTTGTTTAATAAACTTGAATTCTTACTAAACTATGGTTTACCATCAGCTTTCAAATTTCCTAAACAGTAACATCACTTCCTTTCTATAGTATTTTCACATATGTTCTATTTTTACAGGTCAATATGCAAAATGATAAACATGCTGAATAATTAATCTTCTTATGTAGAGTCTCTAACACACATTAAAAAAAAAGACTTAGACTATTGCCCCAATACAAAGAAATGATAAATGTTTGAAGTGGTAGATATCCTAAATACCCTGATTTGATCATTATACATTCTCTGCATGTATCAAAATTCATAGGTGTCCCATAAATATACACAATTATGCATCAACAAAAAATCAATTTTGTAATTAAAAAACTTATTGATCAAATGCAATATATGACTATTGCTTGAATTTTGACTCAAACAAATTGTATGTTAAAATAATTGTTTTTTATGAGATGAGGAAAATCTGAATCTGCCCAGATATGTATCATGAAATTATTGCTAGTTTTTTAGGTGTGATAATGGTATTACGGTTATATTTTTAAACAGAAACTTTATAATTTAGAGATACATACTGAAACCTTTACAGATGAAACTACATGAAATCTGAGATTGGTTTCAATATAATCCTGTGGGGAGGAGTGAGACAGCAGTGGGGCATGGCTGAAACAGAAGTGGTCTTGAGTTGAAGAATAATGTAGCTGAGTCATGGATATGGGGAGAAAGGGAACAATTTTTGCTATTTTCAGAACTTTACAGTACATTTTAAATTTTCCATAAGAAAAAAAAAAGAGTAAGAACCATAGGCAAATGATTAATTTTAGAAGTCTTCTCACTTAAAAAAAAATGCTAGTGTATTCTCTGGACATAGGACATTTGTTTGCAAAATTCATGACATGTTCATCTGCATCTGCCAGTCATGCTACTAAATCACAAGGATGCAGCTGTCAGAGAGAAATAACAGACTTTCAACGTTGGTTAAAGAAAAAACAACAAAAACAGGGCGTCCCTGAAGACTAAATATCACAACTATTTTCAATCACATAATTTTCAATCACATAAAAGTAAATTCCTCTTTAATCCTCAAGCAGTGGTAGAACGGGACAGCTTTAGATATGGAACTATAGCATATAATAATTTTCTTCCTAATGGATTATACTTTTACACAATAATTATATATTCTAAGAAGCACTGTGATGTAGGACAAAGAAGCTAAGGATTTCTGTTTATAGTCTCATTTAATAATAAAGGCTCAACTTCAAATATGGAATCATAAATATTTTCTCCTTACCTTAACTTTAAACTTGGACTGAGAATTCATATAATCAAAAAGCTGCTGATAATTCTTAAACTGTAAATCCCATTCTGTGTATTCACAGTAGCGGAAATCATCTCCTAGTGGAGCCAAGAGAACTTTGGTACGAAAAAGCTTTGACTTCTTTCGGTACTGATCTAGTAGCATTTGAGCCCTAAAAAAAAACCAGAAAATATGAATTTGACTAAGAAAAACTGAATGTGACAACTGATTAAAAAGGAAATAACCAAATTCAAAAGTATATTAAAAGAAATTATTGTATATTTTATTTATCTGCAAAGTTAGTATAATTTGAAGACAGATTTTTTTTAAAAACTATCATACTAATTTTCATTATCCTTTTAAAATATTCATAAATTCTTATCAGTAGGAAAAACTCATAGGTTTCCAATGAATTATCTTTGGAGAAATATGGTCATATACCAACTTGGCATATAATAAATGGGATACCAATGACTTCCTAAAGCCCAGTCACAGAGATTGAATACCAGATAGCACAAGTGTTAAAATAATTTATCTAGTAAGACAATAAGGATTTCCCACATATACAGACTTTGAAGTTTGCTTTGTCTTAATATTCCTTTCTCTAATCTAAAATTATTTGATTAAACACAGAAAAAGGTGTACTTTGAACAAAACCAAAAGAGAATAAATGTTAATCTATAACATTTTATAGAGTCATATTTTCTCTTCTAAAGAAAAAAAAATCAGCACACTTGTCACCTGCCACCAATAATCTGAGTATTTGTCACAGATTTTCAATACTGACCATCAGATAAGGATTAGGAGTTGAATTAGCTATTTTGGTTTCTACCTCTCTGGACTCTAACCAATAGCTTGATGGAATAGCTTTTATATTTCATATTCTATTATAGTTTTCTGCAGAATATCCTTTGGAAATCACTGAATTAGGGCATCTAAGAAAGTCTGAGAATACAAACTAAGAGAAAGGGCTTGTGAAAATGAAATTATACAAGTGGATGAACCCCGAGCAGTTCACAATGTTTACAAAGACAAAGCTTAAGAAACTAGTGATTAAATGACAAGTATTTTTATACTTAGTATTCCAATTTTCACTTCAAGAATCATCCAAAAGTAAATTCTAATTCACAATATAAAAACTTATGAAAGTATTGCAAAGAACACTAATGATGGAATGAAGCATTTTATAAAAATTAAAAACATTTAACTCAATCTCATATGGTCCTTCTTACATTTATAATCTCTGAAAATGCATTGCAAATATAAAATTTTAGCAGCAACATAATACCTTGGTGAGCAAAATATAACCACAGTGTCCTTATGTAACATATAATGCTTAGTTTTCTGACATTAGCACATTACTTTATCTTTACTAGTAATTTGCTAACATTCCACATTTGCCAAAACACTTTCAGGTTACTTATAATAAAAAATACATGAAGAATGAGATTCCACATAGAAAGAAGGCTACCAAAAAAAAAAAATGAGAAAAAAAATCAAATATATAAATCATAGACACAAGACAAAATTGAGCTCCAACTAGATTTCCTAGGCAGCCAGCATAAAAAAGGGTTTACTATCAGATATGCAATATCTTGTACTATATACATGTAAAACACATATAGAGAAAAGAAATCACAAACGTCAATGGCATGCCTTTAACACTTCACATCTATCCTAACTCTCAAGCCTGTCCAGAAAGTGTCAACACTGGGAAACCCAAGTAACCAGCCTGTAATGCCTGGCAGGAAGAAGACACTCACTAAATATATGGTGAACCAACAACAAATCAATTGACTCAACATCACATTTGAAAACATACAGATGCAATTTGCTCCTGATTTATTTTACCAGGTAAGAAATGTCAACTTAACTGTAACCAAGAAAAAGAAAATACCTAAAACATCAAATCATGTGACGGTCAATAGAAAAGGCCAACTTAAAATATATAGTACTTAACCAAAAATGAACTTGACTAAGAATGATATTTCTTTACTTGCAAAGTAGAAGAACCTGCTGAGCCGGACATATCAAAAGATGTCATCTGCACATTATAGTTAAATTTCATTTTCTTTGGGACATTAAAAAGTTGAACAGGGCTAGTAGGCATGGTGGCTCATACTTGTAATGCCAGCACCTTGGGAGGGTGAGGCAGGAGGATCATTTGACCCCAGGAGTTCGAGACCATCCTGGGCAACACAGGGAGACCTCATCTCTACAAAATTTTTTAAAACAATTAGTCGAGCATGGTGGCATGTACCTGTGGTCCCAGCTACTCAGGAGGCTGAGGTGGGAGAATTGCATGAGCCCAGGTGACGGAGGCTGCAGTGAGCTATTGTGTCATTGTACTTCAGCCTGGGTGACAGAAAGAGAATCTGTCTCAAAAAAAGTGGGGGGCTTGAAAGCAGCCAATGAGCTGGAATGCCTATGTTTTATCTCAGTTTATCATCAGGTCAAAAACAAGGTGATATATGGATCTGAGTTAACCAGTAGAGTTAACATTTCAAGAATTTTAAGAAGTTTGTTTATTTATTTATTTTAGAGAAGTCTTGCTCTGTCACCCAGGCTGGAGTGCAGTAGGGCGATCTTGCTGCAAGCTCCGCCTCCCGGGTTCTAGTAATTCTCCTGCCTCAGCCTCCCGAGTAGCTGGGATTACAGGTGCACGCCGCCATGCCTGGCTAATTTTTTTGTATTTTAGTAGAGACAGGGTTTTACCATGTTGCCCAGGCTGGTCTTGAATTCCTGAGCTCAGACAATCCACCCACCTTGGCCTCCCAAAGTGCTAGGATTACAGGCATGAGCCACTGCGCCTGGCCAAGAAGTTAAAAAAGAAAAACTCTCTAAGTATTAGATAGACTCATTCATTCAACAGTATGCCCCCAGATGCCTGGAAATCACTTTCAGAACCACTGGAACTAACTGAGCACAAGGTATCATCCTGAAGGACAACTGTTGAAAGGTTAGATGATATAACAAAAGGATTATTTAAAAAGCCTTCTTTTCCTCAATAATGTGCCTCAGGTAGTCTCAGCAGCAACTCCCCCACCCCCCCAAAAAATAACAAAGGGCTCACAATACTATGAATGCACTGGGACTCCCCAGCTGAAACATCTGGTTCACTTGTAAGAACTTCCCCATCCCTGGTCACCTGAGCAGAGAGTAGTGTAAATACCTGTAAATATAAACAGCTATTTGCCCACCTACACAGGCCAGGATGCCCCCACACTCAACCCTTCCTTTTCATTACACCTTCTGCCACACAATATACTGGCTTATTCTCTGATGCCTACTTAGCGCAACCCTAACTAGAAAGCAGGTTTTTCTGAATTCCTCACTGGTTCTCATGGCTGTAGGAACCAAGAAAATGAAACCAAGTCAATCCGTAACCTTGGACAGTTTTTCTAAACAACTATTAAAGTCAGATTTTGATAGAAGGGCTCCATGACTTTAAGAAGGCTGCCATGCTAAAACACCTTCATGTCTGCCACAGTGAAAGGCTCACAAAGAGTATCTTCTTTGTGATTCTAAGGACTCACTGAAGGTAAAAGATCTCATTTCACCTTCTTCCTAACACACATTTTTTTTAAGTGACTTCTCTTTTTAAAATAAGCTGATTTAATAGTGCAAAAATTTATTTATTTAATTTATTTAATGGGCTGTATTATTTTCCTAGCAGAGTTTAGTGTTTTTATATTACACCACAATGTTTTATTTTAATACACTAATTTTTAAGTGAAGAAATTAAACTTAAAAGTACCAATATTAGAAACTACATGTAAGTTGGTTTAATGAGATGCTTCCATCATTAGTACAATTTTCTTCTAAAGAAATGATTCATACCTTTGATTTTTATTTAAATGTATTTAAGTATAAATATTCCTAATTAAAGTTTACTATAAGTCAAAAACATCAGAATGATGCAAAGATGTGTATACACCAGAGCTGGGAAGCATTCACTACTATTGAAATTGTTATTAAGGGAACAGATAATTACATTCTTTATGTGTTCCATTTCAATAAATGTGTTTTTGCAGTTGAATTGCTTTTCTTACCAATTTGTACAATAGGGACCAGAAGTTTTATTATCAACAAAAGTATATGAAATCAACCAAACACAGTAGAAGGCTTTTATAATGAGGGCAAAGGAGATGGTAATAATAGTGTATTATAGGTTATCCATTGTATATTGATCCAGTATTGTTCACTTTCCATTAAAATGTAACACATAACAGGCATAGTCAAGGCTCTGGCATTTTTAACTTGCTTTAGATCTGGTTTGAATGAATACCTCAAATGAGGATAATGTTGGCTACCGAAGCCCATTTGTTCAACCCTTCAGCAACTAGCAGCTGAGTGGCTACTTTATTCAAGACGATGTCTTATGAAATACGCATTTTCATACCTGCTTTGGACATTTCCAGGATGTATTGTTTCTGGGGGGACTCCCCAGGGACAACCAAATCTGCCTCCAGGAAGCCGTTTAAAATCAAACTGGCAGCATATTTTAGGATCAGGTCCACAAGTGTGAGGGATGTCATAGCTGTAGAAGGGCATCATGTGGCATAAAATATCTGTGACAGATCCCAGATCTAAAATGAAGAGCCAACACACAAACCTGCATTTATAAAATCTATTTTCCCAAAAAATATTCAAAATGTCATTACTTTACACAAAGTATGCTGATTTAGCTCTATTCTAAATCAGCAGCCCCTTTAACTTTCATAACACATACCCTAGCGCCATTTAATGGGCCACCTGTCTGAAAGAAGATACTCACACATCTCAGTCTCTATCTACCTCTTCTATCTAAGCATAGCAGAGACAGGAAAGCCCCACCATGAACCAGCGCCAGCTGACCTGGAGGGATACAAACTGAACAGTAGTAAAAGTTACAACTGGCTCATCCAAAACCACGTCCATCCCTAGCTGCCAGTTCCTGCCATATCTGTTCCCAATTCAGGTAACAGGATTCACTGAGAGATACCATGATATTAGCTGCAGAGACTGGGTGAGAAGAAGAGAGTAAAAAAGGGATGGAATAACAAAGGAAGAAGTGTGGAACATAGACTTATAAAAACACTGGAGAAATTCGCTCTTGGAGAAAATTTCCTCTTATGGTGAGGAGAGGATGTACAACCCAGAAGAATCTACAATCTCGCCCCATGTTTACCAAGAATGAGTTAGTCAATGGAACTTTTTACCAACGAAGAAGCACAGGAAAAGAAAAAGTAATTTTCAGAAAGTGAAACAAAAATAAAAACAAAACAAATAAGATATGGAAAATGAGCTCTGATTCCTGATGCAGAATTACTTTTAATTAAAATTACAATGTTATCACATGTTGATACCACTGGCCTGGAGAGGTGAGAAGCCTATCAACAAGTGAGACTGGAGGACCTAACTAGTAGTTAAAAGCTATCTTTGTGAATATGACCCTGAGCTTTTAAATAACCTCCACCCTTTATTTATGTATGGATTTCCAATATTCAGCAATGAGTATGTATTGCTTACGTAACAGAAAGACAAAAAAAAATTTACATTTTTAATAAGTGAAAACAACTGCTTCATTAAGAACTGGAACACATGAACAAGCTCAACTTAATTTGAAAACATTTTTTAAAAAGCAACATGTTCAAATGTATCAGGTAAGTCCTAGAATATTCCAGTTTTATCAACTTAGTTAAAATAATTAACCGTTATTTTCCAAATTTAAAATTATTAAAATCTATGTGTTTCAGTGCTGTCAGCTGTTTCACTGAATCATATTCAAAACTGTGACACTGTAGATGCTGGTCACTAATGCTTGCTATGAGCATATAGTCATCACAATAGGTTGTCACAAACCCTAAAACTCTTCTCTCCTATGGATAAGGACATACTCCATACCCCACTAATTCTCCTTATGCTCTACTCTTTTGTAGCTAATTTACATACTTAATTTTATCTGCTACATTTGGCTGTATCTGTATTTTATCAAATTAGACTGGAATTTCCCTATAAGCAAGGATGTTTTCAATATTTCTTCCTAGCACAATATTTAAATATTAAATTTAAGCACTAAAATATTTAAGTACTCAATAATTTCTTACTAACTGATATTTATGGACAATTGTTTAGGTAGGGATTCTTCAAATTAACGGTTCTTTGTTTTTCAAATTAGTATGCTCCTTAGCATTTGATCAAACTACACAGAATGCAATCCCCTACAAGTTCTTGTTCTCCCTACAGGTTTAATTTTCTAGAATTAAGAAACTATATAGCCATTGCTTTCCTTACTGAAAAAACAGGAGTACATATAAGAAAGTTACTGTCTAGATTTACAAACGATTTTTCTGAAACACTTAAGGGGTCTAGATTATACAAGAAAACAAGTATAATGTAATGCAGTAATTTCTCAAACACTGTTTTATAAACAAAATATTTCTTTCAGATGAAATTTTACTGAGAACACAATGACACAGGTTAGGAGCCTAGGCTTCAGGAACTACACAGAACTAGATTCAAATCTCTGCTCTCTATGTATGACCTATATGATTTTTGGCAAATGGCTTCTCATATCTAAGCCTCCATTTCTTCACCATAAAAAAGTAATAATATTAAAAATATTAAATGAGAATGAATATAAAGCAGAGGTAACATAATACATGGCCCATAATAAAGGCTCGATAAATAGAAAATAAGGTGGTCTGAATTAAATGGGGGTTGAGAAAGGCAAAGGCCTCCCAAGAGGCCTAGACCTTGTCTCCTCTCTCCTAATAAAGAACTGCAGAAGTATATCCTTAGAATGCCTGCGTGGCCACAGAACACACTGTGAAAATAGGTGGCATTTTGATATTAGGGCTGTTTTAGGAGGACAGGATTAAGGCTTTAAAAGGCAATTCTTACAAGAAGTAGAGACAAGAGAGACAGAAGGAAGGAAAACTGGCTGAATATAAGATACATGACTGGTATCAGTTCTAATGCATGTTCAAATTTGTGATAAAACATGTGCTTTCTAAAACAGAAGCAAGAGAAAGCATTATTGGCAAAATACTAACTCATATTTATCTACTTTCTTTAGTCATAAAAAGATTCTCCTATGCTCTATAAATACCTGCATTATTACTTAAAAGAATCTTGACACGGGTACATGGGAAAAATAATTACAAGAGTGAGTATCTTTACGTTACCTGATTTTTCAAGACTGGCAGAGAACAAAACCCACAGTGGCATGAGTTCATAACCTTTGTGAAACAGTATCTAGGACAAGTGGGATCAGCTTTCATCAAACCCTACATACCCCAATTCTGTCTCCAAAAAAACTCCAATGTTTTATGCTGTGCAAAGTGTTTTTTAACTGCATAATGAACTCTCTGGATAAGCATGTGAGAAAGTTCAGCACGGTTTAGAAGATAAGCCATTGTTGGTGAGTGTCCAAAGGGATCAATAGCCCAGCCGGACCGAGGTTTCACTCCTGTGGATAAAGATGATAAGTGTTATTTTTTTAACTGATAAATGAAATAGAAAGAAGTCATAACACATTCAGATTCATCAATGTTGTATAGTCTCCTAGAGATATCAGACCAAGGACCTACCCAGCATTATCCTCTGCCAAGTATTCCCAGCAAGATATCAGGAAGGGAGGGTTGTGCCACTGCCTATCCACATAGGCAGGAGATGCTCACTGAAATTAATCAGTTAGAGTTGAAATAAACACTGCCATCTTTTAGCCATTAACATCTTTTACCTATTATAAAGCCACTGCCATTAACTAGAGGTAGAGAATAAACAGGACCAGGGCCCTTCCTGGAAGGATCTCACAGTCCTGTGATCTGTGGAGCTGGATAACCCTGGAACTATTAGACGATAAAGAAAAGTAACGTAACTCATTTCAACTTACATTTCCCAACCCCAACATTAAGGATTTTTTAGTATGTCTTTTACACTTCACAAAAGCCCCAAATCATCTTATGATACAGTGGCAGAACTGGCCAAAATAATTATACCATATTTTATTAAATCTTAAGACATTATGAAGCTGGTGCTTTCACTCTGCCTTGAAAGGGGCCAGTGATTTCTCACAGCTGGCTCACACCAATAATGCAAACTACTGACTACAGATACATCTCAATTTCACAGAGGATAAAATGTAAAAAAAAATAAATAAATAAAAATAAAAATAAAAAATGTACAGGTTAGAATTAATAAGACTGTTCATCTAGCATTATAAAAATCTGATGTTTTAATTATTTGGGATTCTCAAATAAACTGTCTACTTACAACTTAAAAATGGACATAAGTAATATTGCTGCGTGTGTTTTTTTCATTCAAACACCTTTTAAGCACCTTACCTAAGATGATGAAAGACCCCAGGGTTACAAAAACGAGTTAAATTAGATCTTGACTCTAGTTGCAGAGGCTGTCATTCAAATAAGTATAACACAAAGTAACACACAAGACAGCAAAGAGAACTTTGTAAACAATACTAAAGAAGAACATAGAGATGGGGAGCCAGTAACGGACAATAAGGAAAATTCAGGATCTATAGGGGACCAAGAGTATATAATCAAAACTCAAAAAGAGCGTATGTCAAAACTAAAAGAACTGACCACATAAGATTTCTGCATTTCACATATTTACATCCAAAAACTAAAAAGAAATATTGAACTCTATTTAGTAACTATGGGTTTTGTGGTAGCATGGATTTAATAATTCCGAAGGTAGCTTTCATGTATTCTAAGACTGAACAAATGAGAACAAGGGAGCCAGGATTTTCACTGTAAGTAACTACAAATGTAGAAGACTGGAATGTACCCTATGATATTGCATTACAACAGGAAATATTGGTACTAACTTATGGTTTTTAGTAAAGAAATATAAAAATATAGATATAGGTATCTATATGCATATTCACAAACATACACAAATTTCCCAACTCAGTGCACTTGAAGAACCTAGATGCAATAAAACCTCAGTACCAATGACCACACCTTAGCTCCCAGATCTTGGCCTCTACATACCAATCATTTTACAAAGAAAGAAAAACCTGAAAGAAATAGCTTATTCCAAGGCTAAAGCCAGGAAAGTACATGATAAGCCTGGAATATATTCTTGTGTCATAAAGAGACAGTCAAGGAATCATGGGAACATATTAAAATAACACAGGAAAAGATCAAAGAGGCTTCCAATGGCCAAATCTGGGACAACTGAGGCGTGAAAATAAATAATGCATCATAATCCACTGAATATTAACAATCTATGAGCCCATACTGATATAAATAAATAAACAGAAAATAAGACGGAAAGCTCTTCTCTTTAGTAGAATGCCAACCAGCAATTATAGAAGGAATTAGGAAATCATCAATGGACACTAAAACAAAAACATGAGAGTTGGCTGAGGAAATGAATATTCACTCCCATTGTACCTCCCACAAATTAATTAGAAAGGGCAAAAATCTAACACAATGGAGAAACTTAGCAGACAAACCCTAACTAGTCGTTCCTATTATTACAAGCACTGGGACAGAGACCTTACATGCCTCCTGATATGATGCAGTGAGGACAACGGGACATCACATTACTGCAGTGATACTGTAACTAGACAGACAAACAGGTAGATAGGCAGAATACATAAATAACTTGAATCCAATCATGAAGAAGTGACAAAGTCAAATAGAATTTCTACAAAAGTGGCTCTACTCTTCAAAAATATAAAGATCAAGAAACCCAAAGAAAGACTAAGGAACAGTTTCAAATAAAAGGAAACTAAAGAGACAGGACAACTAAATGCAATGTAGGACCATGGATTCCATTCTTGACTGGCTGGGGGGAAAAGCGGCTCTTATAAAAGACAAGATTGAAATAATTGACAAAATCTGAATACAATCTGTGGACCAAACTGTCCTACTGTATCACTGTTAACATTCCTGATTTGAAAACTTTATTCTATTTATATATAAAAGTGTCCTTATTTCTTAGGAAATACGCAATGAAGTATTTAGAGATAAGGGTACAGGGGACCTCCAACTTACTCTCAAATGATTCACAAAAATATACATATGAATCAATGTACAAGATACATGGGAGTCCTTCCCAAGTACTATGATGTCACCTTTATAAGTTAAAAATTACATCAAAAGTTATAAGATTAAAAAAAGGAGTACGTATTGTCCAAATAATGAGGACATAATAAGCTTACAAAAAAGATAAAAATCAGTATCAGACAGTGTAGTGATGTTAAAGAGTTTATCGTGTCCATTCAATTTAACAATTATACCACATCACTGGTGATCTTTTCCACATCAAAACCATTGGATCCACAGGGGTAACAACCTAGCTGCAATGGAATAAAGAGTCACTGAGACTGAATAATGTAGAAAAGAGAGAGTGTAAACTATATTTTTAAAAACTTTGATATGAAAGGAGGTGAGAACAAGGGAGAGACTTAAAAAGGAACCCAGGGTCCTGCTAGAGTTTTTCTTGGCAATACTTGTTAAAAGGAGGGTAAGAGGCAAACTTAGGAAAAGGTACAATATAAGAAAAATCCAAAATTTTATAAAGGGGGCACATTTGCTAACAAAACTGGAAAGCTCATCAAAAAGATTTAATGCCTTCATGCAAGAATAAGATTATCAAAATATATAAAGACCACCTGATATTTGACAAATCTGACAAAACAAGCAATGGGGAAAAGATTCCCTATTTAATAAATGGTGTTGGGAAAACTGGCTAGCCATATGCAGAAAATTGAAATTGGACTCCTTCTTTATACCTTACACAAAAATTAACTCAAGATGGATTAAAGACTTAAACATAAGACCTAAAACCATGAAAACCCTAGAAGAAAACCTAGGCAATACCATTCAAGACATAGGCATGGGCAAAGACTTCATGACTAACACACCAAGAGCAATGACAACAAAAGCCAAAATTGACAAATGGGATCTAATTAAACTAAAGAGCTTCTGCACAGCAAAAGAAACTATTATCAGAATGAAAAGGCAACCTACAGAATGGGAGAAAATTGTTGCAATCTAGCCATCTAACAAAGGACTAATACCTAGAATCTACAAGGAACTTAAACAAATTTACAAAAAAACAAACAACCCCATCAAAAAGTGGGCGAAGGATATGAACAGACACTTCTCAAAAGAAGACATTTATGCAGCCAACAAACATGAAAAAAAGCTCATCATCACTGGTCATTAGAGAAATACAAATCAAAACTACAATGAGATACCATCTCACCCCAGTTAGAATAGCAATCACTAAAAAGTCAGGAAACAATAGATGCAGGAGAGGATGTGGAGAAATAGGAATGCTTTTACACCGTTGGTGGGAGTGTAAATCAACCATTGTGGAAGACAGTGTGGTGATTCCTCAAGGATCTAGAACCAGAAATACCATCTGACACAGCAATCCCATTACTGGGTATATACCCAAAGGATTATAAATCATTCTACTATAAAGACACATGCACATGTATGTTTATTGCAGCACTATTCACAGTAGCAAAGACTTGGAACCATATGTATATGCACCATAAAGAAAATATGGTGCATATACACCATAGAATATTATGCAGCCATAAAAACGGATTAGTTCATGTCCTTTGCAGGGATATGAATGAAGCTGGAAACCATAATTCTCAGCAAACTAATACAGGAACAGAAAACCAAACACCACATGTTCTCACTCATAAGTGAGAGTTGAACAATGAGAACACATGGACACAGAGAGGGGAACATGACACACAGGGGTGCATTAGGGGCTGGGAGGCTAGAGAAGGGATAGCATTGGAGAAATACCTAACACATATGACAGGTTGGTGGGTGCAGCAAACCACCATGGCACGTTGTATACCTATGTAACAAACCTGCATGTTATGCACATGTATCCCAGAACTTAAAGTATATTTTTAAAAAAAGGCAACAATTCAAATAAAAAGAATGGGCAAAAGACTTAGAAACTTGAAAATAGGGTATACCACTGGCCAATAAGCACAACAAAACATACTCAGCATCATTAATCATCATGGAAGTGCAAGTTAAAATAACAGTGAAATATTACTACATACTAACTAGAATGGTTCTAAGAAAAAAGACTCACACACCAAACATTGGCAAAAATGTCCAACAACTAGAATTCGAATTCATTGTCGGTGGAATATAAAATAGTACAACCACTTTGGAAAACTCTTTCAAAGTTCACACAAGCTGTAACATACACTTATCCTAAAGCCCAGCAATTCTAGTGCTAGTACATATTTCATTCCAAGAGAATGAAAACATGCCCACAAAAAGACCTGTGCACAAATGTTTATTACAGTATGATTCACCGTAGCTTAAAAGTGAAAGCAACCCAAATGTTCAACAGGAAACTGGACTATCAATGGAATACTACCCAGTAATAAAAGGAAATGGATTACCAACATACACAACAAGAATGAATCTCAAAAACTTCATGCTGGTGACAGGATATAAGATCACTATACAAAACTCAATTGTATTTGTACATACTAGCAATGAATAATCCTAAAATGAAATTAAGAAATTAATGAACAATCCCATTTATAATGGCAGTAAAACAAACAAAATGCCTAGGAACATATTTAATAAAAAAAGCACGGGACTTTTACACTGAAAGCTATAAAACACAGTTGAAAGAAATTAAAAATGATCTACTTACATGGAAAGCCATCCCATGTTGATATATCAGAAGATGTGACATTGTTAAAATGGCAATATTCACCCAGATTGACCTACAGATTTAATACAACCACTACCAAAATCCTAGCTGATATTTTTGCAGAGATTGATAAACTGGCCTAAAATTCGCATGGAAAAAACAAGTTTAAAAAAAGAACAAAGTTGGAGAACCCAGACTTCCCAATGTCAAGCTTACTTACTTACTTACTATAAGGTATACTAATCAAGACAGTATGGTACTGGCATAAACAGAAGTCAAGGAAACAGAACTGAGAGTCCAGGAATAAATTCTCATAATTATGGTTAACTAACTGTTAAGAAGTGTGCCAGGACAATTCAGTGAGGAAAGAATCATCTTTTTCAACAAGTTGCATTGGAATAACTGGGTATCAACATGCAAAAAATAAATATGAAACTCTACCTCACATCATATACAAATATTAACTAAAAATAGATCACTGACATAAATGTAAGAGCTAAAACCATAAAACTATTTTTAAAACAGGAGTACATCTTCATAATTCGGGAATAAACAATGGTTTCTTACTATGGCATCAAAAGCACAAGAAACAGAAGAAAAACTTCCTCAAAATTAAAACTTGTGCATCAAAAGACACCTTCAAGAAAGTGAAGAAGACAACCACAGAATGAAAAAATAAATTTGTAAGTCACTATCCAACAAAGAACTTTTATCCAGAATATATAAAAACAATTCTGGCCGGGCGCAGTGGCTCAAGCCTGTAATCCCAGCACTTTGGGAGGCCGAGACGGGCGGATCACGAGGTCAGGAGATCGTCAGGACCATCCTGCTTAACACGACGAAACCCGTCTCTACATAAAAATACAAAAACTAGCCGGGCGAGGTGGCGATCTGATGAGTCCAGCTACTGGGGAGGCTGAGGCAGGAAATGGCATAAACCTGGGAGGCAGAGTTGCAGTGAGCTGAGATCCGGCACTGCACTCCAACCTGAGCGACAGAGCGAGACTCCGTCTCAAAAAAAAAAAAAAAAAATAATTCTAAGTCAATAAAAGACAAATAACTCTACTGAAAACAGGAAAATAATTAGAATATATATTTATCCTTAAAAGATCTATAAGCAGCCAATATACACATGAAAAGATTCTTAGTGCCACTAGTCTTTAGGAAAATGCAAATCAAAATCACAATGAGATTACCATTTCACACATATTAGAATGACTACAATAAAAAAGATAGACAGTAAAATACGTTGGTGAAGATTCGGAGAAAAGTAGAAACCTCACACACTGCTGGTGGGAAGGTAGAATCATACTGCTCTTCTGGAAAAGTTTGACGGTTTCTCAAAATGCTAAACATTTTTACCATATAACCCAGCAATTCTACCCCTAGGAAGAAAGATAGATTCACACAAAAACCTTTAAACAAATGTGTATAACAGCATTATTCCTAGTAGCCAAAAAAGATACAACCTAAGTGCCCATCACCTGAATAAGGGATAAACACATGTGGTATATCCATACAACAGAGTATTATTCAGCTAATAAAAGGAATGAAGCACTGATATATGCTATAATACATGATGAGCCTTGAAAATATTATGCCAAGAATCCAGTCACCAAAGGCCATACATTACATGCTTCCATCTATGTGAAATGTCCAGAATAGTCCAATCCATATATACAGAAAGACTAGTGATAGCCTGAGACTGGGGCAGGGAAGGGTGAAGCTAGAAAGGGGAGTGACTACTACTGGGTATAAGGCTTCTTTGGGGGATGTTGAAAAAAGTTCTAAAAATAGACTGTGGTGATGGTTGCACAAATCTATGAATTTATATAAAATAAATCTCAATAAGGTTGTAAGAAAAAAATTACACTGGGCAAAAGACAAAAGATCCAAAAGAATATTATGTGAGTCCATATATTAATAAATTATTCTTCAAACAAAACTCATCTACAATGACAGAAATCAAAGAGCAGTTGGCTGCAAGGGGAAAGATGAGGGGATGAGAGACCTTTCTTGGGTAATAAATGTACAGATTAAATGGGTATGTACATCTGTTAAAACTCACTGACCTCTACATTTAAGATTTACATATTCCACTGCATGTAAATTATACTTCAATAAAAACATAAAAAACATTCATAACTGAGGTTTATGAAGTGAATATTCTTGGATTAGCACATCAAGTATTTAAGGAAAAGGGCATTGTGTAGAGAGGGTCCCTAAGACCACCTCCAGGTTCGGTGATTTGTTAAGAAAAACCACAGGTCTCGACATATTGTCGTACTCATACCTATAATCTATTACACTGAAATGAGAAAAAAAAAAAATCCGCAAAAGGAAAAAGCACAGAGAGTACGTCCAGAGGAAGCCAGGTGCAAGCTTCTAAGCAACCTCTCCCTGTGGAGTCATACAGGATGTGTTTAAATGCTCCAGCAAGAAACTGTGACAGTATGTGTGAAGCGTTGTTGACCAGGAAACTCATTACAGACTCAGTGTCCAGTGTTGGGGGTTGGTCATGTAGGCATCCTCTCTTCAGCACATACTAAGAATTCAGACTCCCAGAAGGAATGCAACTGTTTAGCACAAACTACATTGTTTATACAAACAGATTAAAAACAGTGAGCCACTCTTATTGTTAGGATATCCATGTTCCCAGACACTAGCCAAGGGCCAATCTTGTAAGCAAGGCCTTTCTAAGGATAGCAGACCTGCTATACTAACTATTTTCTACACAGGCATGATACCTGCAACATACTTGCAAATGGTTCTAATAATAATAAATATCAGCACCACTGCAACAACATGGAAATAGAAAAAATTAAGTAAATGTGTCAAAATGTTAACAACTGGTAAATCTGGGTGAGGGGTTTATGAGAATATTTTGCAGCATTCTTACACATTTCTTCAAATTTGCAATTATCTCAAAATAAAAAGTAAAGAAAAAATTAATAGGGACGAGAAGAATTTTATCCCTAAGAGACAATTTTTTAAAATAAGGAAATATCTAAAAATAACTTCAACAAAAAACACATATACTTACATAAAAAACTACATTATTACGCTGAGATATAAAATATTTGAAAGGATTTACATACCATGTTACAAAATGTAAATATTAAATATCACAGTTTTCTATTAGTCCCAAGTTTTTATAGTGGATATCTGATTCTATCAGTCTAGCATCTTTTTTCCTATTTCTTGTAGCAACAGAATTCTTCTGTTGAACTGGACCCATTCCATGGGGCCATTCATATGGAGGACCCATTCTCATGCTTTTTAGGTGCAGCTGACCCTGCTCTCCACAATTCCCTTTCCCCTAAGACCATTTCCACCAAAATGACTAGACCTTAGTGATTTGAACTCCTATACCTCTGGACACAGTAACTGGCTCAGACATAAGCAACTGACTCAAGTTGGGCCAACTAGATAAAGTATTTTAAAGAGAACTCCTGGTTGCTAGGTTGGAAAAATTCGTCTCAGCTGCCTAGAGCCATCTTACTCACCTTGTAAAGAAACCCAGCAAAACAAGCAGAACCCAAAGATACAGTGCCCAGACAATATAATTTAAGTCCCCTGGATCCCTGAATGCAGCCACACCTGCAGCTAACATATCTCTGTAACACTCAGTGACATAACAAATATCTTTCTTTCCTTTTTTTGCTGGAAAAAAAAAACTTAAGCTACCATAATTAGGTTTTTGCCTCTTGTCATCAAGTCTTAACATATAATTAAAATCCCAAAACCAATAAAAATATAGATAAATAATACATTAAACGAGGTAGATGATCCTAAAAGTGACTACAGTAAATCTATGTAACACAGTTTATGAGCTAAGAAATATCATAAATTAAAGAAGAATAAACTGTTCGACAATAGTAACAGGGAAAATAGTTATTCAAAAAAAAAAAAAAAAAAGACAGAGACTCACTCACATTCCCCAAAATTAACTGTCCAAAATAGCCCAAATAAAGAATATACCAATACATACCTATATTATTTTCCAGCCACTGATGTCCTTCAATTAGTTGATCAATTAAGGCAAAATAATGTGCAGTGGCTTCATCAGGCATAACCCAGCCACCTGTCACAATTTCAAGCTGACCATTTTCTATTAAACTAGAGAGAAAATAACAAGAGTCCACATTAACAAATATAAGAAAAGTTCACATAAAAACCTAAACAAGCATAAACATTAAGAACAGCCTTTAAATATAACCAGTATGTATACTAGTTGTTAAAATTTTTTTTTAAACCAGTGAATGAATTTCAACTTCAAGACCTCAAGATGGCACCCAGTGTCTCAGGTGACCTCTGCCCTTCTGTAGGAAAAGCCAGGCAGGTCATTCTGGAGGTTCCTTCCACAAGGATATAAACTCCCACACAGCCTCAAAGATTCTTTATGTCAAAAGCCACATCTGGTTTGTTTGTTTGTTTGTTTGTTTATTTATTTATTTATTTATTTTGAGACAGAGTTTCACTCTTGTTGCCCAGGCTGAAATGCAATGATGCGATCTCGGCTCACTGCAACCTCCACCTCCCAGGTTCAAGCGATTCTCCTGCCTCAGCCTCCCAAGTAACTGGGATTACAGACAGGTGCCACCACGCCTGGCTAATTTTGTATTTTTAGTAGAGACGTGGTTTCTCCATGTCAGTCAGGCTGGTCTTGAACTGTCAACCTCAGGTGATGCACCTGCCTCAGCTTCCGAAAGTGCTGGGATTACAGGTGTGAGCCACCGCGCCCGGCCCACATCTGGTTTATTTCTGAATCTTGCAGAGCACATAACAAAGTGTTTTACACAGAGTATATGCTTGATGAGTGTTTACTGGAAGGCTGTCATTTTAAGCACATTATTTATTTCAATGTATTTTTATCAAAAAATCAGTATTTACTTTAGTCCTTCTGACACTGATAAGTTAATCATTCAAACTATCCTAAAAAAATAACAAGGGTAAAGCTAGTAAATACCACATGACTCTGGGAATACAGATAACATCATAAAGCACTTTGTTCCAGATTCAGGTGAAATATAGGCTATATAGTTTATTTTTCATTATTGAGTGAAAGGTTCTAACAGCATCATTATTTGTCTACTGGGTATTCCTTTGCCATAATACCATACCAGGTAACAAGATCCCTAGTCCTAATAAAACTGTTTTGAGAAGATACTTTCCCCTGAGAAGAAAAAAAAAAATCATAAGCTATTAAAAATTTGAAATAGTGCCCAAGGAAGCATAAAAGTCAAGAATTTAAGCAAGGTCTGGCACAGTGGCTCAGTCCTATAGTTCAAGCACTCTAGGAAGCCAGGACAGGAGGACTGCTTGAGGTCAGGAATTCTAGACCAGCCTGGGCAACATAGGGAGATCCCATATTTACAAAATAAAATTAAAAAGTTAGCCAGGTGTGGTGGTACATGCCTGTAGTCTCAGCCACTTGGAAGGCTGAGGTGGGAGGATTGCTTGAGCCTGTGAGTTTGAGGCTGCAGTGAGCTATGATTATGTCACTGCACTCCAGCCTGGAAGATACAGCAAGACACTGTGTCAAAAAAAAAAAAAAAGGAAAGGAAAGGAAGGGAAAGGGAAAGGGAAAGGAAAAGGAAAAGGAAAGAAAAAAAAATTGAGCAAGTATCTATCTTAAGTGCCACAGACTTGCCAGCCTGCAACAAGATGGTTTGGGAAATGGGGTAAAATTTCAGAAACAAGCAAAGCAGCTTTAAAAAGGACATACATCACTGGATGCCTACAGCTAACAGCCAACTCTCAAGTCAAATTTAGTTGAAGCAGACCAGAGGCACAGAGGATGAATAACTATTTTCCTACAAAGCATATGATAGAAGCCACAACATTAACACAACATATAATTCAAACATATGCATGATCATATAACCAGTAACAGAGTGGATAATGGACATAATTTCTAAAAAAAAAAAAAAAAAAAAAAAATCAAACAATAAATTCCCTGCAAACATTAAAGAAATAAATTTATGTTGCCATGGGGATCACCAACTAATATAATTTCACATGCAGAATATGATAACTTACTAGAATGTCTAAAGAAACCCAATATCCAATCAAACTTCAGATTCTCAAAGGCCCAAATCAAGAACCTACAATGAAGAAGCTGGAAATTTCTAAAATCCACACTTCTTTAAGAACACAACTAAATTCAAGGCTACTGGTCCCATCTTTACTGTCAGTAGACCTATGCATACAATTAGTTCTTTTTCTTATCTTTCTGGTGATTGCCTGATTTAGCCACAGTCTAGAGGCTATGGACCAAACCTGCCCCTTATGTCTTATGCTTGGCAGCCTGAGATGTCAGGACAGTATGAGATTTAGTATCTAATTATCAAATATGGAAACTTGACTTCATTATTTCAATATCTCAATAAATAGATCTTTTGGAAAATTTCAGATATAAGTTCAGATATAAATCAAAAACAAACTCTTTGCTGATCTTGAATAGAGAAAAAAACTACAGATTAAGAAAACTAAAAATTAAGTGGAAAAAATTTACTTCAATGATAGAATTTTTCTTTTTTCATCTATATCAGTTTTAATAGACAACATAATTCCTGTCCCACAGGCATCAATGGTCTTCAAGAAAGTCAACCAGCCAAGAATTACATTATATACAGTAACTAATTTTCCCAGCTCCATTTGTTAATAATCCGTATCTTCCCCCATGATGCCTGAGATGCTACTTTCACCAAAAACTGAATTCTTATCTGTACATAAAGGTTAAAGACTATTGTGTCTATTAATTTTGAGGAGGCATGAAAAACTTCTCACTTATTAAAATGTTTTCCAGCATTTATCTACCTTCTTCTCCCCTATCTTTCCCAGTCTGGCTGGTCTCAACTGCCCTCATAGCTCAGCTCAGAGACGTCTTCATGTGCACCCAAGCTAAACTAACACTCCCACTATACCTCCCATTCTATCCATCACAATCTTTATCAGAAACCAGAATTACCTTGTTCATTGTCAGATCTCTATTCTTTCCCTCCCGACATCTACCCACTATTAGAACGTAAGCTCCAAGAGAGCAGGGACCAGAATGTGTTTTGTTCACGTTTGCATGTCCGGCACTCAGAAGCTTGCTTGGCAGATAATGGTCATTCAAATATTTGTTACATAAATGAGGAATTAATTAATAAGGCCATCAGTCTAATATTAGTATTTACCTACAGTTTTTGTATTAGAAAAAGCTCACAGATATTTGCAAAATAAAACAGAAAGAGAAAGGTCAGTCAGAATGAAGTTTCAATTATCTAGGTATGAGATGATATGATCTAGAATATGGTAGTGGTAATTATGAAATATGGAGGAGGAGGAAGACAGCGGAGACATTACATGAAAAAGTATCAACAGTAATTAGAAAATGATTGAAGATGGACGATAAGATTAATGCAAATATGACTTAGAGTTTTAATTCCAGGTGTCTAACGGAGTGGTAGTATTAATACACATATAGTGCAATTGAGTTGAGAAAGGAAGTCACTTTGTAGTAATGAATATAAATTTGGACAGGGCTTTTTATGACAGTGTGACATTCAAAAGGAGTTAAGTGATAAAGAAGAGCAAGTTTAAGAAAAGGGGCCAATTAAAAAGTTAAGTTTCAAAGAACTATTAATAATAGAGAAAATAGGGAATGATGGGAAGTTAACAGAAAACAAGCAAAAGGAAAGTCAAAGATCAAGCTGAAGGAAAATATAAGAGAAATGGAGATAAGAAATGTTAAAGTAAGGGCAAAAAGAATAAGTCTGAATTTAGCCTGAAACATTTTAGAAAAGAGGAATACAGAGCAATCTGTCCTTCCAGTTGGTAAAAGCCATTAAAAAGCTACCATAACTGTGACTTAGAAATAAACACATCAGTGAGTCAGAATAGAAAGTTGAAAAATAGATTTTCTTAAAAATTTACATTATTAAAATAGGCATTGAAGATTTATTTAAAAAAAAAAAAAAAAAACTAAAAATAGGACAACCATATGATCCAGCCATCCCACTTCTGGGAAAAAATCAAGTATACCAAGGAAAAAAATCAGTATACCAAAGGGATACTTGGACTCTCATGTTTATTGCAGCACTATTCACAACAGCAAAGATATGGAATCAACCTAAGTGTTGATTTAGATGAATGGAAAAAGAAAATGTGGTGTATATATATGCAACGGAATACTATTTAGTCATGAAAAAGTATGAAATCATATCATTTGTAGCAACATGAATGAAACTGAAGGTCATTCTATTAAGCAAAATAAGCCAGGCACAAAAAGACAAATATCCTATGTTCTCACTCACATTTGAGAGCTAAAAAAAAAAAAAAGGTGATCTCACAGAAATGGAGAGTAAAAGGACAGATACCAGAGGCTGGGAAGAGTATGTGACTTAGGGTAGGGATTGGGAAGAGGGTTTAAGAGAGGTTGGTTAATGGGTACAAATATGTAGTTAGATAAAAGGAGTAAGTTATAATGTTCAACAGCAGAGTAGGGTGACTATAGTTAACAACAATGTATTGTATATTTCAAAACAGCTAAAAGAGGACTGGAAATGTTCCCAACACTTAGAAATGATAAATACTCAAAGTGATGGATACCCCAACCCTGACTTGATCATTACACACTTCATGCATGTAACAAAATATCACATATGCCCCATAAATATGTACAAATATTTGCATCAATTAAAAATATAAAAATAAAATAAAACAGCCATTGATTTAGTGGAGTAAGAATGAGTTATATTTTTTCTTTTTAAGACTCAATGAGAGTGACTTAAAAGCAGCTCGTAAGAAAATGCCAAGATATTATGTCATGGAAGCCAAGGGATTCATATTTTAAAATACTATGGTCATACAGGTTTTTCAGAAAAATTGCATGAGTAGGTCAAAAATAGACAAATATATCATATCATATATAAATGACATCACAATAGCAGGCCAGAAAGTACACAGGTTTTAGTTTTTCTAGTATAGTTTATTTTATAAGATAGAACAAAACACCCACCCCATGGAAGAAAAGAGACAACATTATTTTAATATGAACCATACTGTAATAGCATGATACCTGATAGAACAATCAGTTTAGTGAGTATTCCTATTTCATTAAACTGCCTGTT